TTTTGTATTATTTAAATAATTAATTTTTTATTTATTTAAATTTTATAATATTAAATATATATTTATTTAATAATGAGTCTTCGGATTTTCAAGACGTCCTGACATATCAGGACGTCCTGATTTTCCGTTTGCTGAATAATATATAAAAATTATAAAAAAATTATTCCCATACGACATTCACAAGTAGAGAAATAACTGGCCCCGCAATTGGCCCCACTGCATTATTGGTCTTGGCAAGAATTCACTCTCTCTTTCCTATATTAGAAATCAGTGGGCCCGCATTGGCCCCACTACATTACTGGTCTTGGCAATGATTCATCGTCCTTTGACTCTTTTCCCATGTAGCAATCAGTGGGCCCGCAATCGGCCTCACTGGATTGTTTTTTTTTTTTTTTTTGGTAAAAGCCTCACTGGTTGTTAAACTTGGTAATAATTCACTTGGCAAAAGATGCAGATTAGCCCCTCAACTCGTTGTGTGGTGGCAGATCAGCCCCTCAGCTCAGTTCACGCGCAAATCAACCCCTTAACTCGCATGCGGTGGCAAACCAACCCTCTGTTAAGCCTGATGTCATTAATCCGTTAAGTTTTAACGTTCCGCTCATCAGCCCCTACCTTGCATCTGACCTGAATTGTTTTTGCTGAGATGGATGTTTTGTTAGATTGAAGAGAGTGCAGGGAGTGAAGGTAGCCAAGGGTGGGAATCTGGTATTCTGTGCGGGAGAGGCCCAGCTCTATACGCTGGACCAACTGATGAGAGCGTCCGCAGAGTTACTAGGGAGAGGCACAATGGGGATCACATACAAGGCAGTGTTGGGTAACCGTCTGACCGTGACGGTGAAGCAGCTGGATGCCGGATTAGCCGGCATGTCGAAGTAGATGTTCGAGCAGCTCATGGAATCGGTGGGTGGACTCAAACACCCCAATTTGGTCCCACTCAGGCCTATTTCCAGGCCAATAAAGAAAGGCTTCTTATCTACGATTACGAACCCAATGGCAGTCTCTTCTCCCTCATTCACGATAAGCCTTCATTACTTCATTTTCCCTGTTCAGTTTCAGTGTGTTAACTCGTCATTCCCAGCTTGTTAACTCAGTGACTACCCAATTAAGAGTAAGGCTATAATTATATTGGTAATAGCTTTATAGCAGCTGAATAGGATTAGGAAAATTATCTTTGAATTTTTTTTTTTTTAGATTGAAGGGTTAATTACTTAATAAT